TGCACCAATTTGCAGTCCCACCAGTAATGTATGAGTGTACCTTCCCCTGCCCCATCCTCACCAGCACTTATTATTGTTTGACTTCATAATGGCTGCCATTCTTATTGGAGTGAGATGGTATCTTAGAGTAGTTTTAATTTGCATTTCTCTGATTGCTAGAGATGGTGAGCATTTTTTCATGTATTTGTTGATTGATTATATATCCTCTTCTGAGAAGTTTCTGTTCAAGTCCTTGGTCCATTTGTTGATTGGGTTATTTGCTTTTTTGTTTTTTAACCTTTTGAGTTTTTTGTATACTCTAGAGATTAGAGCTTTATCTGATGTTTGAAGGGTAAAAATTTGTTCCCAGGATGTAGGCTCCCTATTCACTTCGCATATTATTTCTCTTGCTGAGAAAAAATTTTTTAGTTTGAATTTGTCCCATTTGTTGATTCTTGGTTTTAACTCTTGTGCTATAGATGTCTTATTAAGAAATTTGGGGCCTGCCCACCCCACCCCACCCCCCCTGGTGAAGATTAGGGCCAACTTTATCTTCTATTAGACACAGAGTCTCTGATCTGATTTCTAGCTCCTTGATCCATTTTGAGTTAACTTTTGTGCATGGTGAGAGAAAGGGATTCAATTTCATTTTGTTGCATATGGATTTCCAGTTCTCCCAGCACCATTTGTTGAAGATCCTATCCTTTCTCCATTGCATGGTTTTAGCACCTTGGTCTAATATAAGGTAGTTGTAATTTTGTGGATTTGTCTCTGTGTCCTCTATTTTGTTCTTTTCCTTAATTAAAAAAAAAAACTGCAGTCCATCTCTGAATGTTTCAGTAATTGAATTATTTCTTATCTGAAAAATTATCTCTTGGGCTCTGGTTGTGGCTCAGCGGCAGAGCACATGCCTAGTATGTGCAAGGCCCTAGGTTAGATCCTCAGCACCACATAAAAATAAATTAATTAAATAAAGGTATTGTGTCCAACTATAACTAACTAAATAAATAAATATTTTTTAAAAATATCTCTTTTCCTTCTATTGGATTGACTGTGTATAGAATTGTTTTTCAATTTTTTTTTGTTGTCAATGGACAATTAATTAATTAATTTATTTATTTATATATGGTGCTGAGAATTGAATCCAGTGCCTCACACATATAGGCAAGCTCTGTCACTGAGCTAAGACCCCAGCCCATAGAATTTTTATTGCACAATCACTTTTTCTCCAGATTTTGTTTAATGTCCATATAATTCATATTTTTTACACATAGTCTGGCTTTCCTATCTGGTTGCTTTTAGCATTTTGGGGGTTTTATGGGGTTTTTATTATTTTATTATTTCCTTGGATTGAACCCAGGTGTGCTCTACGACTGAACTATATCCCCAGATCTTTTAATTTTTTTAAATTTTGAGACAGGGTCTCCCTAAAGTTGCTTAGGCTGCTCTCAAGCCTGTGATCTTCCTGCTTCAGCTTCCTGAGTTGCTGGGATTGCAAGCGTGTGCCACCATGCCCAGCTTTTTGTTTTGTTTTGGGTTTGTTGTTTTGTTTTGTTGTTTTGATTGGCCTTGTTATTATTTGTTTTTCTTGAATTCCTGAGGTTTTATAAGGCTGTGCCTAAAAATTATGGGTCTTTTCACATACCATTTTAGCATCGGCTCTGAATCTTGATTTCTGAGGGGAGAAATTTTTTGTTATCTCTTTTGATAATTTTCTCTGACTTTATTATGCCATTACTACCCTCATAATACTAGTAGGAAATGGACCTTTACTTTTATCTTTCTTCTAGGAGAATCCCTCAATCTTCCAGCTTAGCCATATTTTCTTTTTCGCCATTAAAATAAGATAGCCTGACACTTATCTGTGATACAGGTCACTTAAGCTTTTTCAGCCTGAGTTTCCTCATGTGCAGAATGAGTATCCTACTAGCTCTTGTAACATAAAATTATGCAGCCAATACTTGAATGCTTTAGTTGGGTACAGCAGGTATTACTTATGTTTAGTCATTTTTTAGAAGAATTATGATTTATTTTTCATAGCAGTATGTTTATATTATCCAGTTGTGTTTAAATATGATATCCTCTGATTTCTCTGGTATTTTAATTATGTACCTTTAAAATCCTATTTCCTCTGTTCACTGTTTCTTGAGTTTGTGCCTCTTAGTAGTTTTTTTTTAGTCCGATTATATATATTTTTTAATTGACTCCTTTTATATTTTTTCAAAAGTCTTGTATTCCCAGTATGATGGTATACTGTGCATCCTCAGCCAATGCTCTACCACTGTGGCACATGTGTGTTCTACTTTAGGGATTCCTCTGCTGGTTGGGCTTGGGAGAATCTAATGAAAATTTAGATGGTGGATGGTAGAAGCCACTTTTAAAGGCCACCCCTTTGTTCCAGTAAGTTACTTGGGCAAGTCCTGCTTCTCCAGCTCAAGCTCTGGGCTATCTTGCTTTCTCCAGAAGTCTGCTTCAGAGGTTACCATAAGGCTATCCTGGGCACATATGGAGTCAGTTGCTTCTTTTTGTACCTTAATTGGTCCTGTCATTGTATAGATTCAACAATAACCCAACCTCTGCTTCTCTCTTCAGCCCAAGTAATACTATTAGGAGCCTTCTGGCTGGCTGATGGTGTTTCTTGAGACTTTATATGGGGTCTCTGCTGTTAGTCACCAAAATTTCAGGTTTTGTGGGCAAGAGGAAAGTTGGGAGAGTGGTGCTACTAATGACAACATGTGCATTTGAAATGCTTAACTTGAATTAGTAAGCCTGTCTTGCTTTATATTATTGATTCTAGAGTCTGGTTTTAAATTTCTAGGACTTTTTGAGAATCCCTTACCTCCAAATTCTTCTCCTATACATGATTTGAGCTGTGTACTTTTTTCTTTAATTTTCCCATCATTCCTAATCTGTCTGTTTTCTATCATCTAGAAGTTCCTCAACATTTCTATTCTAATAGCAATCTAATATTTACACTGTGTTTTAATGTTTTTTTGTAGTTATAGATGGACAACGTCCCTTTATTTTGTTTCACTTTTATGTGGTGCTAAGGATTGAACCACATGCTAGGCAAGTGCTCTGCCACTGAGCTACAGCCTCAGTCCGACACTGTGTTTTAACTAGCATACATACCAGTAAGTAAACTGTGTATTCTGAGCCAATTCTATTAGGATTCTAGACCCATGTAGCTCTCTGATCCTGGACAGCTATAACAACACCCCACCAGCACCACAAATTAAACAAGTCAAATTTTAAGTTTGTTATCTGTCTCCTTCCCCACTTCAACCTTTTCCCCTTTCACTTCCTATCCATTATAGCACCAACACACCAGTCACTCGGACAGGGAACCTGGAGAGCATGCTTAGTGTTTCTTTCCCCTAGGCTTCTAGGTTTTGGTTTTTATCACATGATTTAGAATGAATTTCTCTCTGTCTCTCCACAACAGTCACCCTTACCATTTTTTTTTATGAATTGCTATAGCAACTGTCTATCTAAAGTCTTGCTTTCCAGTGGTGTTTATAATCACAGTTATTTCACCCTAAATGTAAATCCTTAATAGGTTTCAGTTAATGCTAAGTTTGGCTGGAAGAACTCAGTGTCAGACAGCAAGCCCTTTGCTCTGCCTCTTGCTTTGTGTGTATATGTGTATGAGAGAGAGAGAGAGAGAGAGAGAGAGAGAGAGAGAGAGAGAGGAAGGAAAGAAAAAATGAATTGGGTATGAAGCTCTGGGACCTTGTATGTGCTAGGCATGTCCTCTTCCACTGAGCTACACCCTCCAGTCCCACTGTTACCTTTGTTTTTAATCTGCTTTACAATAAGCTACTTTTAGTTTTTCCAAACACATATTTTCTCTCCATATTTCACTTTTTTTTTTTTTTTTTTTTTGGTACCAAGGATTGAAGCCAGGGGTGCTTAACCACTGAGCAACATCCCCAGCTTTTTTTTTTTTTTTTTGAGACAGGGTCTTTGTTTTTTAATTTTTTATTCTTTTTAGTTATACATCACAATAGAATGTATTTTGACTTATCATACATACATGGAGTGTAACTTCCCATTTTTGTGGTTGTGTATGATGTGGAGTTACTGGTCATGTAATTGAACATTCAAAATGTTCATGTATATGTACAATTCATTCTACTGACTTTCCCATTCCCCTCTCCCCTGCCTCTGTCCGCCCCCCCGCCCCCCTCCAATCTAGTGAACCTCCCTCCCCTCCCCCAGCCTATTGTGAGTCAGCATCCACATATCAGAGCGAACATTCAACCTTTGATTTGGGGGGATTGGTTTATTTCACTTAGCATGATAGTTTCCAGTTCCATCCATTTACTGGCAAATGCCATAATTTCGTTCTTTAAGGCTGAGTAATATTCCATTGTGCATATGCATCACATTTTCTTTATCCATTCATCTGTTGAAGGGGACCTAGGTTGGTTTCATAGCTTAGCTATTGTGAATTGAGTTGCTGTAAACATTGGTATAGCTGTATCGCTGTAGTATGCTATTTTTTAAGTCCTTTGGGTATAAACTGAGGAGTGGGATAACTGGGTCAGATGGTGGTTTCATTCCAAGTTTTCTGAGGAATCTCTAAACTGCTTTCCAGAGTGATTGCACCAATTTGCAGTCCCACCAGCAATGTATGAGTGTACCTTTTCTCCCACATCCTCACCAGTGTTTATTGTTACTTGTATTTTTGATAATTGCCATTCCGACTAGAGTGAGATGAAATCTCAGTAAAGTTTTATTTTGCATTTCTGTAATTACTAGACATGTTGAACATTATTTCATGTATTTGTTGACCGATCATTTTTCTTCTGTAAAGTGTTGAGACAGAGTCTTGCTAATTTGGTTAGAGCCTCAGCCTCCCAAGCCCTAGGGACATTTCACTTTTTCCCCCCGCTTTGGCCATCATATTCTCTGAGAAATTTTTCCAAGGCCCCAAGATTTGGGTTGATTTCCCCTACTTTGTGCTCCCATTGCTAGTTGTGCATGTATTATGTTGTATATACATCTGTACCACTTACCTTGATATTATTGTTGTTGCTATATTTGTCTTTCATCCCAGGAAGCTCTAGCTTGCTAAGCAGAAGGATTTCTGTTTTCTTGTATCCCCAACACCTCTGAAAGTAGAGTATCAATAAAATAAGAATTTGTTAAAAATAAAATACAGTAAAATGAAATGTTATTTGTGGGAAAGAAGGGTATAGGATTCAGTAACCTCTTCGTGATTATTGGCCTTGTTTTAGATCAGAAAGGGAATGTCTGACTTCTGAACTCAAGGCTTTTTCCTCCTGACATTAATCCAAGGACATGACTAGAAAGACAAGCTGAACTTTCTCCTGGTTACAAAGTCTTCAGGCCTTAGCTACTCCTGTCTGCTATCTTAAAATTTACCCTTGGTTCTTATCACTAAATTCTTCTTGTTCCCTAGGAGACATGAGTGAAAGTTCTGTGGAAAACCAAGAGAAAGAACTTCAGGATCTGTTATGGCATCTACTGGCTAATTTTGAAAGAGATGACAATATAATACCTGGAATCTGGATTACATTTATAAATCCTTAAAGAAGTCCATGGGGATCCTGAGACATTTCCCTGTGTCAAAAGTGGAGAGAAGCATCTTGTTATAGTTCCAGAAACAGGAATAGTAATAGTGTAGTTACTCTTTTTTTTTTTTAAGAGAGAGAGAGTGAGGGGGCGGGGAGAGAGAGAGTTTTTTTTAATATTTATTTTTTAGTTCTTGGCGGACACAACATCTTTGTTGGTATGTGGTGCTGAGGATCGAACCCGGGGCGCACGCATGCCAGGCGAGCAGGCAAGCATGCTACCGCTTGAGCCACATCCCCAGCCTGTGTAGTTACTCTTCAAAGTGATGATTTCAGAAACATTGCAAGTGAAATATATTTGTCTTTGATATTCCAAGCCAAATGGCCACACAAGACTCCCCTGTGAAATTCTGTAAGAAAGAACTTCAGGATCTTCAGGAGAGCAGAGATCTCTTTGTAACTGAAGAAAGCACTGAGACAAAAGTAATAAGAGGGGAAAATCTTTCGATAAACCATTGTTCAGAAAACCTTCAAGTTAAACTTGTGTCTGATGTAACAGAACTGGAGTCACCATTGTTTGGTCATGAGGCCAATTGCCAGAGTAGACAGTTGGAGGGTTCTCTGGGTCCCTTTGACTGTAACTGTAAAGATAATTACAGATGGAGATCACAGTTGGTTAGCTGTAGTCATCAGAGAGCTCACACAGAGGAACAACCTTGTAACCATAATGACTGTGGGAAAATACCAATTACCAGCCCAGATGTGCACCCCTCTGAAAAAATCCATACTGCAGACAAACAGTGCAAATGTGGTGGGTGTGGCAAGGACTTCAGTCAGAACTCAGAAATACCACTTCATCAGAGAGACCACACAGAAGGAAAACCCTACAAATGTGAGCAGTGTGGGAAGGGCTTCACCAGGAGTTCAAGTCTGCTGATCCATCAAGCAGTCCACACGGATGAGAAACCTTATAAGTGTGACAAGTGTGGGAAGGGCTTCACCAGGAGCTCTAGTCTGCTTATCCATCACGCAGTCCATACGGGCGAGAAACCTTATAAATGTGACAAGTGTGGGAAGGGCTTCAGTCAGAGCTCCAAACTGCACATCCACCAGCGAGTCCATACTGGGGAGAAACCCTATGAGTGTGGGGAGTGTGGGATGAGCTTCAGTCAGCGCTCAAACCTCCACATCCACCAGCGAGTCCATACAGGAGAGAGGCCCTACAAGTGTGGAGAGTGTGGGAAGGGCTTTAGCCAGAGCTCAAACCTTCACATTCACCGGTGCATCCACACAGGAGAGAAGCCTTACCAGTGCTATGAGTGTGGGAAGGGCTTCAGCCAGAGCTCAGACCTTCGCATCCATCTCAGGGTCCACACTGGGGAGAAGCCCTATCACTGCGGCAAGTGTGGGAAAGGGTTCAGCCAGAGTTCCAAACTCCTCATCCACCAGAGAGTGCATACTGGAGAGAAGCCCTATGAGTGCAGCAAATGTGGAAAGGGCTTCAGCCAGAGCTCCAACCTTCACATCCACCAGCGAGTTCACAGGAAAGATTCCCACTAAGTGACATGAAACCTGTTCAGGCTTTTGAGTACTTGTACTATAAAGACTCAAATATTTTTAGTATAACTCTTACTGTATCTCATGAAGGAGATAGATAGTAAGGTTATTCATATATGTTCCCTCACTGAAAAATCATTCATCCATTTAAAGTATTTAAGTATCACTCACTGTGTTATGCTATACAATGAGTGGATATTATTCTGGTTGATGACAGTGAAAACATCTGTGCTGTGCAATTTAGCAGTGTTATTAGAATTATGTATCCTATCCAGAATTTTTAACTGCAAGAACTTTATGTTTATCCAAGCAGGGCATGTTTTTCTTTGTTCACATCCTCTTGAGAAATAAGACTTATTGTTTCTCTTCAAATTATGTGCCTTATGTTTTTCATATTTCCTTTAGGTTCTACGTAGCCCTCTAAAATTCAAGAGCAGGGATCAAGTTACTAATGGAAATGGAAAATGGTATAGGCCTTTGGAAAACAATTTGGCTGTTCCTATAAAGTGAGACAAACTTATCACCTGGCATGGCAATTCCACTTCTAGGAGTTTATTTTAAGAATAGTGAAAATTAATGTTCACCCATAGCCTTTACATGAAAGTTCTTTGCAAGTTTTATAACAGGTGTAATAGAGTGAAAACAACCTAAGTGTCCATCAGAAGATGAAAAAGCAAAACAAACCACAGATTCATGTAATGAATACTTTTTTCATAGTAAAAAGAAACTGCTGAGAAAACAACAGGGATGAATTGCAAAAGCATTATGCCAAGGGAAAGAATTCAGGCTCAAATTACTGCATACTGTTTAGGAAATTCTAGAAAAGGCAAATCTGTAACGAGATAAAGCAGTTTAGTGGTTGTTAGTGGGTAAGAGGTGACTGAAGTGGCATAAGGGATGGAAATTTTCTGTAACTGTCTGATCATTCAATTGAGATAACTCACTACCTTCAGACCAGCCTGAGGGATGGAAATTTTCTGTATCAGGTTTGACTACATGACTGAATTGCTCACAAAAATGGGTGGATTTTATTGTTTATAAATTGTACCTCGATAAAACTAATTGACATAAACACACCAGTGCACATCACCTTGTCATCAAAACACTGGTTTCACAATCTCTCCTTAGGCAGCGTTGGCAGTTTGTTCTACTATTGAAAACTGGAGTTTTAAACTCTGCTGTTAGATAGATACTAACCATGGGTTTCTTTGAACTCAGGGAAAAATTCTCCCCACATAATTTTTGGTCAGGTTTTCTTGGGTCACCAACTGATCTCTGATTTCCTGAGAACACTGGCTCATTTATATGACTTTTCCTCCCACAGATCTGAGGCAGCATGATTGTCAGGATTTCAAAAGACTCAAGATTCTTTATTTGTAAAAGTCCTTTGGTCCTTTTCATCTTGAAAATTTACCACTTGCTCCTCATTTTGGGCAATCTGAACAGATGATCCTCTCTTTTCTCCAGAGAGAAAAGATTTTGTGGCAGGATTCTATTTTTTTTTTTTTTTTTTTATGAAAAGGAAAAAGAAGTTTTATTGCTTTGCTAGCAAAGGAGAAACACAGGGAACTCCTATCCCAAAGGCTGTGATTCTCACAGGATTCTTTTTTTTTTTAAATATTTATTTTATTTATTTTCATGTGATGCTAAGGATCGAACCCAGGGCCTCATACATGCTAGGCAAGCGCTCTACCACTGAGCCACAACCCCAGCCCTCACAGCATTCTTAGGCTTTTTTCTGGAAGCTCTAACTCACAGTGTCATAGTCTGTTTTATGTTGCTAATAATCATACTACTAATTGGGTTATAAAGAAAAAAGGTTTACTTTGGCTCATGGTTCTGATCCAAGGTCTAGGGATTATATCTAGAGAGGTTTTCTTGATGGCAGCAGAGGGCATCACATGGGAAGTGTGCATGTGTCATTATATCCTCCCTCTTATAAACCCACCAGTCTTCAATGATGGGGTTCCACCCTAATGACCTTACCTAAGTCCTAATCAATTCTCAAAGGCCCAACTACTAATCACCATAGTTGGATTAAGTTTCCACCCTCTTAATGCCTCATAATAGGGTTTTTGAAGGGGATAAGCCATTTCAAACCATACTGCACAAATAAAATTAAGCACCCGTCTTTCCTAGACACTCTAGCCAGAGAAAGGTCCAATTTGTGTGTCTTCATTATTGTTTTATCTTTGTACTATAGAAGATTTTAAACAGTAGCAGCAAGAAAAAACAATAAAATGTTGCTCCAGTTCCTACCATTTTAATATTCCACATCTGACCCCTTCTCACCACCTTTACCAGCACCACTGTGGTTACTGCCTTTGCTACAGTCATCTGTCGATTCCACTTTTATCCCCTTTAGACTAAACACAAAGAAACTGGAGTTATCTTTTTAAAAACCAAATATGTACAAAACTTGTTCAAAACTCCTTTAATGGCTTTTCATGACAAAGTAGAATCCAACTTCTGCAGTCTTTGTTCTGGGTCCTTCTCCCTAATCTCATTTTCAGGCACACTATCATTCTTTTCACTTCAACCATACTAGCCTTGTTCAAAATGTGTGAGGAGAACAGAAATCCTACACAGTGGCAAGCCTCTATGATAAAGGGAAGGAGGAAAATAAGAGAAGGTTCCAAGGAAGCAAGGAGATTGAAGGATCAACCATATTAATTCTGTAGACAGCAGAAGGGTGAGCATGTTAGATTGTGGAGTAGGGGTTCAGATGGGGAGGAGGAAGAGACATGCATGGTCATGTGAGGTGAAAAACCTCACTGGTACTTATAAGTCCCACCTCTTCCTCCCAGCATTTATCTAAACATTCCCTAAGCAGAAATGTCAGTATTCCTCCCTTCTATTCCCTTCAGGTTACAGAGATAGCAGAACTGTTAGAAAGTAGAACTGAGATAAAAAGAAAAGTGGTCTCATCCTAGATTCAGATTATGAAGACTTTAGTGTTACTGTGCCTAGACTCTTGTCGCCCCACCCTCCACACTCTTTTGGTTTGTTTTTGGTTTTGGTACCAGGGGTTGAACACAGACATACTTAGCCACAGAGGCACATCCCCAACCTTCCTTTTTTTTTTTTTTTCTGGAAATTAAACTCAGAATGCTGTGCAACTGAGCTATATCCCCAGCCCTTTTTTTTTTGAGACAAGGTGTCAGTTGCTTAGGTCCTTGCTAAGTTGCTGAGAATGGCCTAGAAAGCCTGCCTTGGCTTCCTGAGTCTCTGGGATTTAGAGTGGGCCACCACACCTGGCATTCCTTATCTTTTTTGACCATCTTTTAGCTGGCTCTAGGTGGTTAAATTGAGCTGCCAGCAGTAGAAACAGAGACACAGAAAAGACATTGCAGACTTAGCTTTAATCTTTTTCTCCATATCTGGGAGTCCGCTGACCTGTCAACCACCCAAAAAAGTTTGGGTTTTTTTTTTTTTTAAAGTTTACTAGTGGGCTGAGGGGGGATAGCTTGATAGTAGTAGGATGCTTGTTTAGCATGTGACGGGAGTTGGGGTTCAATACCCAGCACCCCCCAATTTTTTTTTTAAGTTCACTTAAGCAAATTGTAACTTGATTTTGGCTCCAGATACTAGAAAATGCTTCCACCCAGTTCAGGAGAATAATTTTTATGTATGTGGTACAATAAGTGGCTTCAGGGCTCCCTAAAATTATACCCACTTATATATGTATGATGTTTTCTAATTTTCCATTGTTATTCTGTGTTATTTAATCCTCACCAACCACCCTGTGAAATAGAAATTCTCATTATACAGATTTATGAATTAAAAATACTGAGATGGCCACAAATCAGTGACCTGAGAAAGTTGATGGCTGGTAAAAACAGTAGCTAACACATGTAGTGCTCATGAAAATTAGGTACTGATGGCCGTCATACTATTGACATGACCTCTGAGGGAAGGACCATGATTATCCTCTGTTTAACAGTTGAAGAATCCAAAACGCAGAGCGAGCAAGTTGCTCGAGTTCACACAACAGGTAAGAGGAAGGCCTGGCGTTCTACTCCAATCGGCTGTCTCTAGACCCTACACTGAACCTCTAGTCTGTATGTGATGGGCTTCTAAGGCCTCAACTTGCATTTGAACTGAATCATATTCCTTTGTTGTTAAAGATACCTTTAAGTTTTTAGAATAATTGGAAAAGAACAGTAACAGATCCTAGTTATAATTCTAACCCACCAAACACCATTGACATCCAGGCCAGAGCTCCAGCTCTTGGAGCTCCTCCTCCTCTAGCTCCCCCACCTTTCTGCTCCTCAATATGTCTTCCTCCTTTTTAAAATGGATTCCTTTAGTAATAGGAATAAGGTCATTTTAGTTCATCTTGTCTGTAAACATGAATTTTCATACATGGGGTATGCTTTAAATGAAATACAAGTAACTGGTATGTTCCTCTCTTCCTTCTTTCAAGCTTATAGGATTTTATTTTTTTGTTTTTTGCCTACCATTCCCACTAGCAAGTGGCCCATTCTCATTAGCACCAGGGGAGTTTTCAGTGGATCACTATTTTTTTTGTTTCTCTTTTTTTTATCTTTTTATTTTTGTTATACATGACAGCAAAATACTCTTTGATTCATTGTACACAAATGGAGCACAATTTTTCACTTCTCTGGTTGTACACAAAGTAGAGTCACACCATCTGTGCAATCATACATGTACCTAGAGTAATGATGTCTGTCTCATTCCACCGTCTGGGCCATTCTTTTCTGTTGCTGTATCTCAGTAACATGTCCACCATTTTGTGTGAGTGGATTTTTGGACTGACATTTTGTAATCTCTTGATACATAAGGTGATAACCAATCTAAAGGCAGAACTTTAATCTTCACCTTGGTAAGCATGTGTGTGCTTCCTCCTTAATGTAAACACTCTTTGTTAGCTTATGACTGTTGGTACCCAACCTCATTTGTGGACTGAGAGGTATACAATGTGGAATTTTAAGAACAAGAATGCTGGAGGTTGATCCCAACTACCACTAGCGAGCCCTGGCCCTGTGTGTCACCTTGGACAAGTTGCTTGAACCTTTCGTTTCTTAGTTTCATCTGTAATCTGAGGTTGTGATAGATAGTTCCTCTCCTCATAGTGTTGTGAGGATTGAGCCAACAGAAAGGATTTAAAGCAGGCATGTTCCATAGTAGATGAGATATAAATATTATTGTTATTTCCAACTGAACCAAATGCAAGATGCTTGGTGTGCTGAGTAAGAAGGTCCCAAGGATGATAGAACATTGGCAAATGTTTATATATATCTATATATAGACAACCTGTAAGGAATGATCTGAGAGAGCATCAGGTCTGCACTTTAGAAGAAATGTGATGTCACCCTGCAGGTCAGGGTCTGAGAATGTTTAACTGTTGG